GTGAGCACATGAAGGCACAGGCACTTCCTGTATAGAGAGTTATGTCACAGTGATAAAGGGATGCTTTATTAGGGCGTCTAGTGGTCTTTGGCAGGGATGTCCATGGTAATATAACTTCAAAATATAGACATGAGAATGAAGGCTGGCCCGAGGGCACTATGGTTCAACCCTCTGCAAAGGGAGCTGGATCCGACGTGGCTACCGCAGAGTGAATCCTGGCCCCAGTAGCCACACGCGGGGTACACGTGCGTATCTGCCCAGGATCCTGATCAGGTACAGGAATGGAGGACCAGGGATTGCAGTACAACCAGGCCCCACTGGGGGATGATTTCTTTCTCTCTCTCCATCTCTTCCTTTCTCTCATTCACGAGCTCTCTGGCGCTCATAAAACAAAATTAATTAGTAATAAAAATCCATTGAATGACATGAAGGAATTGAAAATCTAAAGCATCGTAAAAGATTGACATGCAAAATAGACAATGAATGAATGAATGAATGAATGAATGAATGACAGAGAGAAAAAGGAAAGAAAGGAGGAAGATTGGAAACACAATTGACACACTTGATCCAATGCATACATACTGATCCCTGTACTCAGCTATTAGAGAATGTAACTTGTTTTCAAAAATACATGGACAAGTACTAGATTACCAAGTGAGTTTACTTACACACATACTGAAAATCACGAGCTATACAGACCACAGAGCCATCTAGTTTAATATCGATAATGTTAAAAAGATATCTTGAAAACCCATATGTTAGGGGAAAAGAAAGGTTTGGTTTGGTTTCTTAGGATTTTGCTATAGGGCACATGTGCTCGCCAGAGAGGAGGACAGAGACACAGAGAGGGAACGCGAGAAATCACCCCTCCCCCACCCCAGAGGGATGGCCATGCCACAATCTCCTCTCCTCTCCTCTCTTCTCTTCTTGGGATTTGGGGCATGCACACACAATGCACTCAGTGTAATTTTCAATCTACTAAGGCCAGGACTCAAACTGCAGTTGGTTTTGTGGGAATCTTGCCACATTAACTATGTCATCTGCTGGTCCTTAGAAAAATTTAAACATTGGACATTTACAGATTAAAAAAAAAAAAAAAGATGAAAATTGGAAACATGTTACAGTTATACACATGTATGTATCAGATGTATACAGATACACTGGAATGCCAGGAGAAATTTTAGATAGGTAGATAACAGAAAAGCTAAGCACCAAATTCAAAATGTTAGAAAATAAAAAACATAATAATCTCCAAAAACAGAAGAAAGACAAAACAAACATATCTCTGGCAGAGTGGCGATGGGGAGAGGGAGAAAAGAAGAGTAAGAGAGAGGGAGGAAGACACAAAGAATCAGCCAAAACCTCACGATTTTAAAGAGTAAAAAAGCATTCATATGGCAGCGATTTTAATCAAAAGACAACACTCTTAACAAATGCATGTAATAAACGTGAAAAGTGAAATAAAACAGGCAATTTTCTAAGAAATAGTTATCAACACAATTCAGAGACATCTAACAAAACCAACTAATTGAGTAGTTGTAAGTTTACACACAACACACACAAATTCCACGATTTACTGATAGTTTTATGAGTTTTAACAAATCTAAAAGCAGCAGATGTCTCAATTTTTATAAAATGTCACAACAGATATTAGAGAAAGAGGGAAATGCTCCAAGTAATTCTATAATGAAGTGGCCTTACTAGGAAAGTCAAATAACAGTGCACGAAAAAAAAAAAATACAGCTTTTCCTTTTTCCGTTCGAGATTTTTTTGTTGTTGAGATTTTTGGTTTTTTGTTATAGGGCATCTGTGCTCATCAGAGAGACAGAAAGTGAGAAATCACCCCAGGGGGTCACACCACAATCCCTTCTCCTTGATTCTCCTCTCAGGATTTTGGGCATGCACACATGCATGCCTGGTATGTTTTAACCCCTGGGTCCGGGATTCAAACCATGGTCGACTACATGGGAGTCCAGCAACATAACTATTATGCCATCTGCTGGTCCCACAGTCTTTCCTTTCTGAGCAGAGACACAAAAGTTCATAGTATAAGATGAGCTAAATGAATTTAGGAATATGTTTTTGTTTTGGTTTTGGTTTGTTTTTGTTGTGGTTGTTTGGCTTAGTGTAATGATGACAATGACATTCTATCCTGTAAAAGTATGCATGTTTTCACTAGGAAATGTATTTATAGCATTCACATATACCCATATGTGCTTTTACATATATGTAAATATTTCATGATTAAAAAATTTTAAAAAAACTTTTAGGTTTTTGCCATAAGGCACATGCGCTTGTTGAAGAGAGAAAGAAAGAAACACCATGAAGGAAAATGAGAAATCACCCCAACAAGGGATGGCCATGACATAATCCTTTCTTCTCCATTCTCCTTCTGAGATTTTGGGCACACATGCATACACACCCAGTGCGATTTTCAAGCTACCCAGTGCAGGATTTAAACCATTGTCGATCATGTGAGCAGTGTCTTAACCACCATGCCACCTGCTGGCCCCCATGATTAAAAATTTTCAAATTCTGAACCAGCAGTTAGCGTAATGGCTATGTCGCTAGACTCCCACATAGTCGACCGTGGTTCGTGTCCTGGACCCGGTGGCTTAAAACTCACACTGGGCGCGTGTGCATACGTGCCCAAGATCCCGAGAGGAGAATGGAGGAGAAGGGATTGCGGCGTGACCATCCCCCCCTGGGGGGTGATTTCTCGCTTTCTGTCTCTCTGTCTCTCTCTGTCTGGCGAACACACGCGCCCTATAGCGAAAATCTCTCCAAAAAAAAAAAAAAATTCAAATTCTATCACTGTAACTGAACACTGATTATCAATATCCAGTAATGGATGTAGACAATTTTAGTGATGAGATTTAGCATATAATCAGATTCTAAACACTAACAATGGCAAGAAAGATTCTTTTAGTTATATGAAATTGTGAATGTCCTCATTGCCCCTAAATTCTGAATTGTGCGCTGATAAATGGTTTAATAGTAAGTTATATATATTTTTATGTATTAAATTTTTTTCATTTGCTACAGGGTTTCTCACTGGAGAAAGAGAGAAAGAGAAAGGAAAGGTGAGAAATCACCTTGCAAGGGGTATGGTTATACTGCAATTCCTTTGCTTCTGTTCTCCTCTCATGATTTTTGGGCATACATGCACACAAGCCCAGCATGTTTTTTGAGTCTGGGTCCAGGACTCAAACAGCACAGTCAGCCATGTGGAATCCAGCACCCCATGTGCTGATTCCAAAATTAACTACCACATCACCTGGCTGCCCCATATTATTTATATATTTTTTACAATAAAAAAATTCTTTAGTAAAAATCATAGTTAATATGAAATTACTAGAAGAAAAATTTTTAAATGAGTAATGAGTGGCAGCCTACTCTCATTGCTTCTATTCAATGATGTTTCAGGAGTCCAGTGCAACAGAACACCAACAGTAGTTAAGCATCAATATTAGTAAGGAAACTTTTCACAAATAATCACACTGTCTATGTAAAACGTTCAGAAGGACTATCAGGTCTCCAAGAGCATTTAGCAATTTGTAAGCTATATGACATTTGATATACAGAAATCAGTAATGTTCTTATGTGTTAATGATTAAAAATTATAAAGGTAGTTGTAAATATATACTACTGATGATAACAAGAAAAACTATGAGCTATCTAGCTATAAATATAATATAAATAAAATTATAAAACACAGAAATATATATAAAGAGAAATAATTTATGAATGAGGAGCTCCAATATCATAAAAGATAGCAATTGTCTTTGAATTAATCTATAAATAATAGCAATTTTAATCAAAACTTCTGCAGACTTCACAGATATTAACCAACCGATTCCAAAATGAATATAAAAGAGTATAAAGACAAAACAAAAACAAGATGACTTAGAAAAACATAGAAAAGTTACTTGTTTTCCTACACGTCAATTCATATTGTAAAGCTACAATAATGAAAGAGAGATAGTATTGGCCTAGTTGTGACAAACCATAAATTTTAGAAACAGATTCACACATAGATGGGAATGACAGCCCATGATGCAGATGTCCTAACAAACTGATGGGAAAATAAAGACTATTAGATAAAGAACATGGATTAGCAGACCAACTATATAGAGAAGGACTAAATTAGAACTCTATCTCATGCCAGACAATAAATTCCAAAGGGATTAAAGCTCTAAATGTGAAAAAAGCAATACATTAAGTTGCTCAAGATAAAAATATAAGACAATATAATAATAGTGCAGAAAAAAATTTCTTGAGACAAAAAGCACAAATTCTAAACGAAAAGATTTAATTGGACTGCATTAAAATAAGAGAAAAAGAAAGCTCCTATGTATCAGAAGGCATCTATAGTCCAAATAATAAGAAGACATATATGCAATGAATATAACTGTAAAGAAATAGTACCTATAGTATAGAAAGAACACCCAGATCAGTGAGGATAGACCCTACCACTCAATAGAGAACTGTCCAACGGGAATGAAGAGGGCAAAATCCCCAAATGACCACAGAAACTATTAAAAGAGGTTCAACTTCATTAGGAATCAAGGACGTGCTTATCGAGTCACTAAGAAATCATTTCCACTGTATCAGACTTGGGTGAAATCCAAAGGCTTGGTGCCTTCAGCAAAGACACCCCAGGACATTCCTCCAACAGCTGAAATTGCCAGCTGTCAACTGGGAAAACACCAGTTAGAACTTTCTCCAGTCATCAATAAACTTGACCCAAAAATCTCCTATATTTCAGGGTGCTTATTCACACATTACAAATGCTTCCCAACCTCTAAATGACCACTCTAGCAAAAGCAAGAGCTGTTTCTTCCAAGCTGACAGGAACGCTATGCTTTCCTTACACAACAGGGCTGCCATGTTTTCCACCCTTCGGTGTTATTGTGCGTGTGCCAATCACACCGACACACTTGGGGAAGTTGTATACAGAGCAGAAAGGTGTCTGTGTGTTGGGGCTGGGGGCATCTTACTTGGAGCAGTCTTCACAAGCAATGTTCCCTGTGGTCTCCTTGATTGTGCGCTCAGAGACAAATGCAGGATATTCAGTATCACAAGGCTCGAGGGTCTGTTTCAATTTCTGGGCTGTAGGGATAAGGAAAGAGAAAAGTTTCTAAAGCAGGCACAGAATCAATATTGTGACTGGCAGCCCACAGCAACTCGGAACACAATTCTGTTTCTGCTGCTCTGTGATTTTTTCGAGGCACAGAAATTATGCATTATTTTCTAATTAGTCAAGTGATTTCATCTGCCAAGCCACTCTATACGCTATAATTCCTCAAGCAGTCGTGTTGGCTTCATCAGCTATCATTTATGCATCGCAAGAATTCTCTACTTTCTGGGACAACATCAGTCACTGGGTCTCTGACCTCAGACTGAGTCAAACTTAGCAGCAACACATATGTGTATCTGAGCAAATGTATAAACTATAAGTTATTCCATATTACAGAGGGTGAGACAAAGGTCATGATACAATTGCATGGTTTTATTATAGAAAGAAAATTGAAATATGAAATAATAAAATACGTAATGTCTTTGAAGCACAGCCATGAGCCAAATCCTACTATTATGAAGCTCTTGGCCAAAAACACACCATGTCTGTTTTAAAGCATTCAAATGACTTTGGTGCACGGAGTAGCACATAGTAGGCACTCAGTCAAGGCGTGGGGTTGATTAAGTTACTTAAACGAGCTATGCCCAGTGGGGAAGACTCAAAACCTAAGTCTCAGTTTTCTTATTTGTAGCCTGAGGGATAAGAAAGTTTCATCAGAAGTTGATGTGATGAGAAAAAAGAAACAATATATGTTAAGTACTTAGTACAGCACCTGGAACGTAACATGTTCTAAGTAAATATCGAATAATAATAGTAGTAGTAGTAGCACCAACCACACTTGTCTTTTTTTTTTTTTTTTTAGGTTTTTGCCAAAAGGTGCATGCACTTATCATGAGGGAAAGTGAGAAATCACCCCCAGGAGAGACTGCCATCCCACAATCCCTTCTCCTCCATTCTCCCCTCTGAATTTTGGGCACACATGCCCATGTGCCCAGTATGCTGCCAGTTCTGGGACTTGAACCGTGGGCGGCCATGTGGGAATCCAGCACCTTAACCACCACCCCACCTACTGGCCCCCACACTAGCATTTTAATGAAGCCATTGGGACAGACAATGATGAGAGTGACTGCAGGACAGCAGCTGAAGGCTCTGATGTAAAAGGGGTTTGGTGCACAACTCCTGCTGCCATTTCTAGCTGATCCCTAGTGTTCTCATCTGTAAATGGGGAGGCTAGTTGTACAGCCACTCCTCACAAGAGGCCTATTCAGTAATAGTTTCACAAAAGAATGCTTATATAAGGGACCTTTAAAAAGTTTAGAGAAAATGTGTTGTGAAAAACCTCTGCTTGGATGGCAAAAAAAAAAAAAAAAGTTATACCAAATAATTTCATGTTTTTCATGAAATTTTTGAAGTCCATTCGTAAGTTCCCATATCCACTGTTTCCAAGTTTTTTGGTTCATGTTTATTCAGAAACACACACACACACACACACACATACACAGCGTACAATTAGAGTTAGAAATCACTTTGTAAGGGAATGGCCATGCCACAATCCTTTCTCTTCCATTTTCCTCTTGGGATTTTGGGCATGCATTCACATATGCCCAGTGTGTTGTAAGCCGCTAAGTCCAGGACTCCACGCGGTCAACTATGTGGGAGCCCAGTGATGTAATCATTTGCACCATCTGCTGGTCCCGATTTACACTTCTAATTTTAAAACTTTATAAGATTTTAGCAAAATGGTGCATAGACAAAGTCTCAAGTTATATTCCGAATACAACTGGCCGGATGCCAGCACATGAGATGTTTTGTAGACATCCATCTGGGATGAAGCTGGCAGGAAGTGAGCCATCAGGGCTACTGCATGCAAAACAACTGTTTGGTAATGACCAAGTAATTGTTGGGTGATCAAGAAACCATGTTCTAAGTGCTGCATCCTGCTATGCTTGCTTCTTATTTATAGGCTATTTTCTGAGCTTTCATTCTTGTGAGGAAATCGGTTGGAGGTTTGGGGTTGAACCATCATTCATCATTTTTCTTACATAAAATCAAAAGAAGTGTGGCCCGGCTGCTGGGATAACAGCTACAACACAGGTGCCCTGCAAGGCTGGAAGCCACAGGCTGACCACAGGTTCGGATCCCTGGACTGGTTTGAAATCATACCTGATGTATGCATGAGCACCCAGGATTCTGAGAGGCTGAAGGGCTGGGGAAAGGGGGTCACGGCATGAAGAGTCCCTATTAAGGGTATTTCTCTTGCATACATGTGGTTTTTATCAAAACAAAACAGACACCAAAAGGAAGTAGAATTTTCAGGAGCTGGTTACTGACATTAAAGGGTGATGTCTGCGGTAACCTTACAGGATGGTTCTGAGGGAAGGGCTGGACTAAAGCATACACAGAGTTCCTGACTACGTGAAGCACGCACATGCACAAACAGCACACCTGCCTGAAACACTCACTGTGAGCAACCTCTACCAGCCACATGCCCGACGCTGGACTGACTGCGCAGGAGCTAAGAGCACAAGTGCCTCAGGTCATCAGGTGGCATGGTGCTTAAGGTGCTGGGCCCCCACATGGTCAATTGTGGTTCGAGTCTTGGACCTGGCAGCTTGAAACTCACACTGGGCACATGTGCACATGTGCCCAAAATCCTGAGAGGAGAATGGAGGAGAAGGGATTGCAGCATGGCCATTCCCCCCAGGGGAAGATTTCTCACTTTCCCTCGCTCTGTCTCTTTCTCTCTCTGGTGAGCGCACATGCAAAATAGCAAAAACCTTAAAAATATAATACAATAAAAGCACAAGTTCCTGTTACTACTGTGTCTCGACAAGTGAGGTTTTGACCTCTCCACACCCTCGTGACCTCGTCAGCAAAATGGGAACAGTACCAAAGTCACATGGTTGAGCATCAAATGAATGATCACCATGTGGCATCAAGCTGGCACGTTGTAGGCTCCCTTTAAATGCACACTCTTGCTGCCTTTGTGACTTCACTGCACATCTGGTTTCATTGTCTCCTTGCACTTTTGGGGGGGAGGTTTTTGCTATAGGGTGTGTACACTTGTCAGAAAGACAGAGAGAGACAGAGAAACAGAAAGTGAGAAATCACCCCCTGGGGGGATGGCCACACCCCAATCCCTTCTCCTCCATTCTCCTCTTGGGATCTTGGGCATGCATGCACAAGCGCCCGGCGTGAGTTTAAGCCACTGGGTCCGGGACTAGAACTGCGGTTGACTATATGGGAGTCCAGTCTCAATTTTCTTATTATTTGTATTCACACCAAGCATGTGTGAATGCATGCTGAAATCCCAAATCTCATGGAGGGTGCTTTCCTACTTTCCTTCTCTCTCTCTGTCTCTTTTGGGCAAGCGCTTGTACCCTCTAGGCAAAATTAAAAAATAAAAAATGAGGGGCCAGCAGTTGGCATAATGGCTCTGTCACTGGACTCCCATGTAGTCAACCGCAGTTCAAGTCCTGGACCCGGTGGCTTAAACTCATGCCAGGCACATATGTGTGTGTGCTCAAGATCCCGAGAGGAGAATGGAGGAGAAGGGATTGTGGTGTGGTCATCTCCCCCGGGGGGAGGGGGGGGATTTCTCGCTTTCTGTCTCTCTGTCTCTGTCTTTCTGGTGAGTGCATGTGCCCTATAGCAAAAATCTCTCTATATTTTTTAAAAAATAAATAAAAATTAAAAATGAAACAAAAATGTAGTACACACTAGCATAGGTTATAAGCAGATCTTGCACAAGCAAGCCAATGTCATAAACAGACCTGATGGAGGTTAATAGGGAAATGTATTAACAAACGCTGTGGGCCAGATGCTCTTCTGCTTCGTACATATTAATTCATTTAACAGTAAGACATGACAAAATGAAAAAAACAGACTATGAAGTAGAATCAACTGTCATCTCTGTTTTGTAGAGAGAGCAGAAGAGAAAGCACTGAAATAAAGAACCCAGATTCATCCAGTAAGTCATGTGCTACAGCCAAAACTGAAGCCCAGGCCACCTGGCTCTAGCAGGTATGATTAATTTCTCTGTGAAGTCTGGCCAACAGTCAACAAGGCAGAAAGGTTCTTTGGGTCAGGCAGAGATGGGCAACACACATGATCACATAAGCCAGATCATCGCATCATCTCTAACCTAACTGTCCGGACACCGAGCCCAACACTCTCTGTGATGAGACTCATTTGGGTCTGATGCGTTCTGGAATTTCTTCTCCTCTGACAACTGTCAGGTACTCATAGTAACGTGGTGATAAACCTTTGAGACTCTCTGCAGCGTGAATATAAAGATCGGCTGGAAGTTGCTTGATGCATTTTAGGGAAGCATGAGCTAGGATATAAAACCAGGGTATCATCGTTTTTCTTCATGCATACGATAGAGTGCCGTGTGCACTCGTGAGCATGAGAGAGCAGGGAAGTCAGGGAACAAGGAGCACCCTTCCCAGTGTGGTCCCACCATGGTCCCCTTCCTCCAGACTTCCAGCCTATCAGATCCTGGGCACACACATGCCTCCCAGGTATGTTTTGGGCTGACCAGGCTGGGGATTTGAACTGTGGTTGCCTTGTGGAATCTGGCTTCTCTTGAGCAATGGATTACCATCGTAGCACAAAACTTGGCGTGGCCACTTTTAATCTGAACAGGGTTTAATAGGAAGACCTCTCCTAGTCTAGAAGGCAATGGGAAACACCACATTCTTGTGCCAGTCACTCTTCTCTATCTGTGGAATGTCTAAGCAACAGCCAAGGCTTCCAGCAATCTCTTGGGCACTGTTTTGACTCACAGGGGTTCAAAACTCACTGTCTTGCAAAGGTATAGGTACTTAAGGGCCATGGAGCTTAGCTTGGCCAATTCCTCGTGTGGCCGGAAAGGAAAACTGAGCCTTGGAAAGCAGACATGGCCTGTGTTTAATCCTAAAATGAGTGACCCTCGGGGTCATCATTTACTTAAACAGGAACGATCACCACAGCCTTTGCAGCTGGTGCTCACTTAGCATTTCCTGTGTGCTAAACACAGTGCCAGGCCCTTTGTACAGAGAATCCTTACTGCCCCCTGATGGGTAAGGTCCTGCAACCATGCCACATTCCAGAGGGAGAAACTGAAGCTCAGAGAAATTGAGACGCCCACCCAGACTCACATGGCAGTAAGCGGTGGAGTCCAGATGCAGACCTGGGCAGTCGCATCCTGCAGCCCTCTTGGTGCCATCACACCACCCCACGGCCCATCCCCGGCACGCTGGCTGCCCAAAGCTCGAGCCCGCATGCTCTGACGCGAGCTCACAGGGAAGCGGCCAAGGGCGCGTGCGTACCACTGAATATCTTTAATTTTCCCTTAGCAACGCATGTCCCTGCTGAGAATAACAGACTGGTGCTCACAGTAATTACGTGCAGACAATTGGGAAAGAATACATTTGCCATTTGAAAAGCCTTCCTCTCCCTTTGTCTCTGTGAATGCTCCCGTCCAGACCGGGTGCCAGCAAGCCCCCTTCTCTTTGTGTTACTCTGCCCAAATGATACCTTTGTGATCGTCAAGCAGAAACGGGCTTCCACAGTTGCCTTCATTAAGGAAATGAAGCAAAATAAACAGTGTAATTATGGATTCCACTTTTAGCTGAAACAAAGATCTATGCCTCAGCTCAGGGTCTTTATCCATGGAGGGGATGGTACATTTAGAATGAGGAAAGCTTGGAAATCAGCATCTTTATGGTGCTTAAAACTTCTCCCTCCTTAACAGAGGGGTGCTGCTTTCACCACTAGGTATGGCCCCGGCACACAAAGGAAGGCCTCAGGATGTGAACCTGGGACCTCCCCATATGGCCCCAGCTTTATGGAGCATCACAATTGCATTACTGTTGCATCCCCATGGCTGGCCCAAACAAGCTCTTTTTTTTTTTTTTTTTTTTTTTAATCTTGCCAGAGGGCACATGTGTCTGTCAGTAAGAGACAGGGAGGGAGAGCAAGAAAGCACCCCCCATGGGACATGTCATGCATTAATCCCTCGCTGCAATTCCTTCTTGTTTGGGTTTGGGTACACACACACATGTGCTTGGCATGTTTTACAAGCCACTGCATCCAGGACTCAAACCCCATGGTCAGCCACGTGAGACCCTGTTTGTTTAACTACCAAGCCATGGGCTGGCCCAGAGACAAGGTCTTTCTACTGTCTGTGGGAAGAAGGTTTCACAGTCTGGCAGTGAAGTGAGATGACCTGTTTAAATGATCTACTAAGGGTCTTTTTACAAAGGCTGCCTGGGACCAGCAGGTGGCGTGGTAGTTAAGGCACTGGACTCCCATATGGCCAACCATGGACTGGGTCCTGGACCTGGCAGCTTGAAACTCATGCTGGGTGCATATGTGAGCATGCCCGAAATTCTAAGAGGAGACTAGAGGAGAAGGAATTGTAGCATGGTCATCCCCCCGTGGGGTGATTTCTCACTTTTCCTGTCTCTGTCTCTCTCTGGTACACCTCCTATGGCAAAACCAAATGAACAACAACAACAAAAAAAGGCTTCCTGGGACTAGCAGTTTGTGTAATGGTTATGTTGCTGGGCTCCCATATAGTCGACCACGGTTCGAATCCCGGACCCAGTCGCTTAAACTCATGCCGGGCGTGTGTGTGTGTGTGTGCCCAAGATCCCGAGAGGAGAATGGAGGAGAAGGGATTGAAGTGTGGCCCCCCCCCCAGGGGGGTAATTTCTCACTTTCTGTCTCTCTGTCTCTGTCTCTCTCTGTCTCTTTCTGGTGAGCACATGCGCCCTATACCTAAAACCTCTCCAAAAATAAAAAGGCTTTCTAAGACAGAAGCAGATAAGCATCATATTATTCCTTTTAGCAGAAATCTAGAAGACTGTAGGTCTAGCTGTGTGTACAGGAGTTGTTGCAATGTCTCAAGCCAGCGGCATGGCTCCTTACCCTGTAACACACAGGGCAGCACCCCACTGCTCAGCGGTATCACTAAACCTCATGTCTGCAAAGTCCTTATCCTCCTCTCTCATCATTGTCCCCCATCCCAACCCCTCAGTGTAGACCTGGGCTTCCCAACAGCACTGCTGACATTTGGGGTTGGATCGTCATTGTGGGAACTGTCCTGTGTGCTGCGGGACGTGTAGCAGTGTCCCTGGTCCCCGCCCCACTAACTTCCAGTAGCAACCTCCCACCCCCAAGTGCTAACAACCAACAATGTCTGCAAGACAACACCATGCCCCCTACTCATCCCCAAGGGAACACGGCTGGTCTAGGCGAAGACCACCGTGCCCGGCCCCGAGCACAAATTCAAGCCTGCATGGTGAATCTGGAAGACCCAGACAAGAGTGCGGGTGGGCGTCGGTGGTGGCAGGTCACGGGAAAGAGAGACGTATCAAGGGAAGAATGAGGACAGTGGAGGCTGCTGTGAAGGAGGGGAGGCATCTTCACTGGGTGTGACGAGGAATGCCAAGCAAACCCCTGAAGACCACCTGCTTGCTGGCCTCAGCAGGAGCACGTTTTTAGGAACTACGCAGGTATCTCAGCCAATACCCCCCGTCGCCCAAACCCGGAGCCAGAAGTTGAATATTCCTAAACCAAAGACTCTCTTTAATACATAAGGACATGCAATGAGACGATGAAAATTAAGTCTCTCCCTCCCCCATGACCCGGGTTATCTCCTCTAAGGAACAGCCATGGCTTCCATCCCAGGTTTGGTATGTCACACTGGTACATAAGATGTGTCACCACCATTTAAAAAAAAAACAACAGGAATGATCGCATACTACACACACCGTTCTTAGGCTTTTTTTTTTCACTTGATATATCTATAAATATCATCACATTATTACAAACATTTGTCTTGTCTTTTCTTTTTTTTTGAATGGTTACCTGAGATCCTATTTGGGGGGATGTTTTCATTGGGCTTGTCCTAAAACATTGGCTACTTGAAACAAATGGAATGGCTGTATACAGTAGGTGGTGTGTCTATATAATAACCCCTAGGGGAAGAGTAAAATGATCAGATGTAGGTTTATAAGGGCGAGTGTAACAAACAAAAACAGGGGGGCTGTCCACTCACTTGGCCCGAGACGTCAGCACTGCCTATCGGCTTTCTATGAATGAGCCTGTGCCGCACACGACCTCAAAGCCAGCCGGGAGGACGATGGGTGCGTGCCTTCACTACTGGAGGGAGCCTGTGGAAATGGTGTCAGACCGGATGGTGTGGCACCAAGCGTGACGCAGGGCTTTTTGCTGACAGAGCTGAAAAAGCATCCCTTTGTCCTGGGTAGGGTGACACCAGCACAGCCCTGAAGAGAAGCAGCCCGTGGCTCTGAGCCAGGAACCAGACACCAGCGGCTGAGGCTTACCTTTAGCTGTCATATCGGAGTGCCACCAACTGCAGAGGTTAAATTCCACCAGGAACCTAAACAGACAAGGGGAGTCCAGAGTTATTCGGTTACCCTTGCCCGGAATGGAGCAGACAGTCTGTGCAAACCAGCACTGCTCCCCATGTTTCAAAGAACATCACAATTCAGAGAGGTGCAAACCGATTCATTTGCACCAGACCTCATCTTATTTGTGAAAGGCTGTTTTATCACCCAGGCCAGGCAAATCCTGAAATTGCATTTACTTCAACTCGAGGACTCGTAGCTGAAAAAGATCCTGCAGTAGAGTCCAAAACAGCTCACCCCCTCGTTATTCACTCGGTCCTATTCCAGTTCGAGTCCACAGAAAAGAGTATGTTTTAAAAGGACTTTTACTTTGCTCAGAAATATGAGGGGATTTCTAAAAGCTCATGGAAAATGAAATTAAAGTATAAATTAACTTTGCAAAAAGCATTCCGAATGCCATATGTAGTTTTTTTCATACTCTGCATTTTCCATAAACTTTTTGAAGACCCCTAGCTGCATGCCTTCCTGTATTTAAACTCTGCTCTGCAGTGATAAAGCAAGTTTTCAAAATGTATAATGCAACTCAGACTTGTTTCAGCCTGTGTGTGTGTGTGTTTATATGCACGTGTGTGTACACATGTGTGCGTGTGCAGGGGAGAAACTTCTGTGAAATTAGGTCATTGTACAACTTCATAAAAATTAAAAATTCTCAAATGCTAGTAAAGAGGGCAAGGCTAATATAAATTGTCCTCTAAATGAATGGAGATAGATAAAAATCCAGACATTCATTCAGGCTTGTGGCTACTATCCGTAGCAGCTTCTTCTCAATCGAAATCCCACTTCTATCTGTTAACGTATTTTCTCTGTCTCTGATGTGTATGGAGAACTTACTCTTCTCACTTGAATTATAAATGTTGCTAAAGTAATGGAAACTATGTTAAAGCAACGAAGAGGACAATGTTTATTTACCAAATGACAAGTAGTCTGCCTTAAACCCACGGAACTGGAGCCTTTGCAGGAGAAAAGAATAAGGGAGTTTGGTGCAATTTAAAAGGTCTGGTTTACAGGCTTGCCCAGGATATTCTCCTCCTTCGTGTGACACAGTCCTTTTGTAATGTGTCCAGTATCTGTTCTGGAAGTCGAACCTTCCATCTCCTGTCATTTCAAGTCTGACACAAATGAAGACGGTACGGAACGTCCTAAATACAGGACCGTAACTGGATGGGGTCAACAACTCACACCTGACAGAAGCCCCCGGTCCTAGCTGAGGGCTGCTCAAGTCTCTGCTCCTGCCACACCCACACACCCAAAGCAGCAGAGTGGATGGCCCCTGCCCACAGCCCACCCAGGCTGCACTCCAAACAGCCAGACATCCATGTTAAATTTAACACTAACCACATTAAGTAAATTTGGTTTGCGTATTGCAAGCTGTTAGTCTGCTAAACAATGACAGAAGGGCGTGCGGAGTGATCATGAATAACTTAATAAGAGAGTATTTCGGTCTCGAGGGTCAATATTTCAAGATGTTCAGTCGGGTTATCTCAGAGTAGGAGGACTCTAATGGTTATTGAAAGCACTGAGGCGCAGTCTCCCAACTCATTTTATAACATGAAAAAAAAAAAAAAAAAACTAATACTTCTCCAGAAACGAGAGCGAACTGTACTTACAAGACAAGTTCTGTCATTATCCATTTTACAGCAGAGAGGAAGGCATTGTAAGGCTGCAAAGAATTCCATTCATTAAAAACAAGGTATCACACACGAAGTTTGCAGTTTAACTCCAGGTTTTACATAAAGACAATGTTATTCTTCGGGAGAGATTAATATCATGTTAAAAAACAGTGACATTCTAGCTCAAGGAAGAAAATGGTTGGATACTGTATCGCAAAACTAACATTTTAAAACTTTGAACTCCCCTGTAGCGAGATGTGATTTACAAGTAAAATAAACATGATCTAATGCAAGGGTTATCACTGGGAGGAAAACGGAAGTTCAGCAAATGATGCTTAAACCTTTACCCTCTAGGGGCTAATATTTCACAGCTGAATGCTGAGGGTCTGGAATTATAGAACTAATCTCAAATGGTAATGCACAGGCCTGCCCCTTGGAGAGGTGATTCTCTGTTCTCCATCACTGTATGTCATTCATCAAAACAAGCAAAAATTGCATAGCCTTGCTTTTCACACCATCCAGAATGATGTAGGTTTTAAGCTGCTTTTTCCTCACACTTACCTATCTGGACTTAAAAAAAAAAATAACCATATAAACATATGATTTTTTATCCTTGAAGAAAATCCCTTTCACTCTATAAAAGAAGGCATTGACAGCCTAATCTTTATTTCAGAATATTTTAATTTAAAAAAGCAGCTGGATTGCTTACCCTGTGATATTTCCTATGTGGATAATTCAATTTCCTGAATTCTGGAAAACACCAAGTCTTCCCCTCAGTTGGTTCTTTGTACCTAGGTATGCCAGATATGTGAGTGGCTTGTGAACCGGAGAGACAGGCGGTGACACTGGCCAATCCTGGGCTCCAGGTGTCAGGTCTGGAATAATCTCAGGGCCTTTTGTGGTTGCCTTTAGGTATGGGAAAATCGCAGTGCATGCCAAATCCTGGCTTCTGAAGCCATGGCTGCTTAATCCTACCTGTGAGCATTGTAATGACAAGACCTGGAACTAGGAATGGGGGCACTTTCCAGTTTTAAATAAAACATGGACAGATTTATCTACCCCCGCCCCCCATCATTCTCGAAACTTTCCTGTTTCAGGCCAAAAAGTGAGCGAGCAAAACAATGAGAGGGAACCCTGGGAGTTGTTCTCAGCCACGCAGACCTCAGACTTCATCTGTCTGTGGCCCTGGTGAGACAATGCTTTAACGTTCCGTGGATCGGAGGGCGTTGGCCTCAGAGTTAGGATCAGATAAGGGTGTGAACCTGTAACTATTTTCTAACACCTATCACCAACCTTGCAGTCCCACAGGTTTGCTTTCACATGCTACAGTTTGAAAAACACTCATCTGTCCTTCAAAATGTCTGGGCGCTAAGACTATTGTACAATTCTGCGTCGTTCTAACTTCTGGATGGGGAGTGTGGGTCAGAAAGAGGAGAGAATGAATAAAGGGATTAGGGGTGTTTTGGAGGTTGGGGTGGGGAGAGGTACCAGGGCCAGAGGAAAGGCACTCAAGCATGCTATGCCAGACATTGGTTCAATATATGAGCAAACAAAAGGATTATGTAAATGCAGGATTAAAAAATTTAAATGCACATTATCATTCGAAAGGAAAAAGCCATTGAGCCCTTAAGCCTAATGATGGAAACACATCTTGGGAACATTTTAAGTCTGGAAATATTCATGCAAAGGGTAGGAGGGTTGCGTTTAGAAAGACATGGTAAGTTTCATTAACATGTGATTTTCAAAACATCCAGCTTCTAGTTGCTTCTCTTTTCAGGTCTGAATAATTTTTTGCTCGCTCAGTGTGGGAGAACTGTGTTAAACATTTGATTTTTCTTTTTTTTTTTTTTAGTTTTTAATATATTCAATTGCTGTCTATCATTACAGATTGTAAAAATAAATTTTGCCAGTGTGAATACACTGTATATTAGTTCAGGTAAAGATCTTATCATACACATGGTTATCAACAGATAATTTTCCCATTTTTGTGTCCTTTAAATGGATTGCTTTTTACCCCCAGACTCCTCTTTTTAAATAATTCTTTTGTAAGACCGCATATCTGCAAATGAAAAGGTGCCTAGTTTTTCAAACCAAAGTGGCTTTTAAATGTGTTTCAAACCAAATGTTAGGTTGGCTTTTGATATCTACAACTGACAACACTGTAAATGTTGTATTTATCAGATGTACTAGATTACCTAGAGGGGCTCAACTATATTTTTTTGCTGTGTTTTTAGGTAATTGGTGGTCACACATGTTGTGCACGCTGCAAACCATATCTTTAAACTGGGAGTAAACCCTAACAGCCCATTTCTGTCCCTCAAAGCCAGTTTCTGATGACACACTATTGTGTTGATTGATCCTTTAGGTGACATCATCTGCAGGCCAGCACCAGGGAGATCGATGCTGAAACCTGGCAGCTGCAAGATGAGGGAAAAGCAGCTATGATGAAAATGTGAATGATTAGGTCAGGAAAGTCATGACGGGTTTTTCTATGCAAAAATGTGTCATGACCTTCCCGATGACCCAGGAGCTCGGAGACAAGAGCTCTACCGCTGAAACCAAAGGAGGCTTTCTGCTGAGCAAAACCAGGTTCTCTTCTATAGAAGAATGAGGAAGTCAACAAAACCGTCTCTCTTTCTCTCTGATCCACCAAAAGGGGGCTGCTGCATTAATTCATCAACTATTTTAGACCTGTGTTTTACTCATATCCTCACTAGAGTTTGACTTAGAAGTGGTTTTTCTTCATGAGCGAAGTCGAGGAATACTGTCACACGCTCATGGTTCTGAAATGGAGATGTCTTGCCGCACAGAGAGAAAGAGGCGGGCTTACGTCCAGGAGACGGTGGGCGCCATCGCTGCTCTCCTTGTTGGCTCTGCACATGGCCTGGTAGTCGTAAAGTGTGATCCTGCAGGGAAGAAGGAAGGGCTTCACTGAGCAGAAGGTGCAGGAAGAAAACGCTGCTGCATCTCAGCCTCCCAACAAGGCTCTCCAACCTCCTGCCCTTCCCTCTCCCCACGTGAGTCCCAGAAACCAGAACTGCTCTTCCCCAGGGCAAGTCACAGAAACTGGAACCCCCTCCCCCAGAAGCTAGCTGTAAACGCGGAAGTTAATACCTAGACTTCCCCTGCCTTTCTCTCTAGGAGCTGGACATGAAGGAATTCCCTGACCTATCTTTGCCCAACTACAGGCTATAAGACCCTCGTTCTGGAGGAGCCCTGCCCACACCTGGACAAAGGAGGGCCCACAAGGACCTCAACAGACAGGACTTGCTGGGTTCCCCCTCTGTCCAATCACAACTCCACACAGCTGTCCACTTTTCATTAGTTCTAAGCATAAAAATGAACAGTTTTCCTTGTGTCTTTGGGTCTTCATTCTGAAGGCTCTTGGGTCACATAAAAGACAAAAAAATTAAATGTCACCAGTGGGTAAATGTACTTGCTGGAAGGAGGAAGGGGTAGGGAGAGAGTGAGAGAGAGAGATAGAGAGAAAGCACCCTCTTCCCCATGAGGTATGGTTACCCCACAGAGGTCTCCTCCAGCTCTCCACATTCTTCTGGGATTTGGAGAATGCACGCACATGTACCCAGCATGTTTCTTAAGCCGCCGAGTCCAGGACTTGAACTACACAGTCGGCCATGTCCAATCAGCCACCTTAAGCACTACACCATGGTCTGGACCCACATACAACTTCGATTCAATAAAACTGCTATGCAGCTCTCTTGTTAACCTGCCTTTCACTACAGGAGTGACCCGTGCTGCCCCCATCGCGGCTGCTATCATCAAGTCACCGAGTCCGACACAATGCAGACTTAACTAGGAGTAACAAACAAGGGACACAGCAAAGCCCAGGACAGGAGACAGAGTCCCGTCCTCCCTGGAACTTGAAGAATGAAAGAAATATGAGGGGGGCCAGCAGGGGGCGTGGCGGTTAAGGGTGCTGGACTCCTACGTGGCTGACTGCAGTTTGAGTCCTGGACCTGGTGGCTTGTTTTCTCATTTTCCCTTTCTCTCTCTCTGTCTCTCTCATCAAATTGAAAAAAAAAAATAGCAAAAAAATTTTTTTAAACATTTATAAAAAAAGAAGATTGGGAAGAATAGAAGGTAGAGCGGGGAACCCCTTAACGTGGTGAAGCAGTCATCTGGTCCAAACAAGGATGGTCTGCACGGACCAAGATACTCCACAGAGAATCTGTTGTTCTGCAGTGGGTTCTGGGCCCTGGGGGGGAACCTGCGTGGGCCATGTCTCCAAGGTCAAGGACAGGTGCAAAAGGCTTCTGTGGGATAAGCAGGGGCAGGATCTCATCTCTCTCAGGCGGAGGAAGTCGGCTTGGATCGAGATAAGCTTGCACGTTGATGACCAGGGAAGCCAGCTGACTCAGTGGCCCCAACCTCTACCCCTCACTGCTGCCTCCACATGGCGAGTGTAGTTTTACTTTCGAAAACAGCATCGTTTTGAAACAGGAAAGTGGACATATTTTTCTCCACTGGTGATAAAAGTTTAGCTCTTTTCCCAAAGAAGGCTTTTACTCAGTTGTAAAAATATTTTACTTCGTAACTGTTCAAGGTTTTTTTTTTTTTTTTTGAGAGAGAGAGATTTTTGCTATAGGGCACATGCACTTGCTAGAGAGATAGAGACAGAGAGAAAGCGAGAAATCACCTCTCAGGGGATGGTCACATTGCAATTGTTTCTCCTCCATTCTCCTTTTGAGATTGTGGGCAAACACACACACACACAAACACACACACACACACACACACACACACGCATGCCTGGCACGAGTTTCAAGTCACCAGGTCCAAGACTTGAATCACAGTCAATCACGTAGAAGTCCAGAGCCTTCACCACTACACCACCTGCTGGCCCCAATCTTTTCTCTCTCTTTCTTTTTTTATCTTTTTTTTTTTTGACATGTTTTTACTATAGGGCACATGTGCTCGCCAGAAAGATAAAGAGAGACAGAGAGACAGAAAGCAAGAAATCACTCCCCAGGGGGTATGGCCACGCCACAATCCCTTCTCTTCCATTCTCCTCTCAGGATCCTGGGCATGCACGCACACGTGTCTGATGTGAGTTTAAGCCACTGGGTCCAGGACTCAAACCATGGTCAACTATATAGGAGTCCAGTGACATAGCCATTAGGTTATCTGTTGGTCTCTCTTTTCCTTTTTACAAGGGCATTCCTCCACCATGATGGCCCCATAACCATGACCTAATCTAATCCTAAATATCTCCCAAAGACCCCTGACTGCAGTTTGAGTCCTGGACCTGGTGGCTTGTTTTCTCATTTTCCCTTTCTCTCTCTCTGTCTCTCTCATCAAATTGAAAAAAAAAAATAGCAAAAAAATTTTTTTAAACATTTATAAAAAAAGAAGATTGGGAAGAATAGAAGGTAGAGCGGGGAACCCCTTAACGTGGTGAAGCAGTCATCTGGTCCAAACAAGGATGGTCTGCACGGACCAAGATACTCCACAGAGAATCTGTTGTTCTGCAGTGGGTTCTGGGCCCTGGGGGGGAACCTGCGTGGGCCATGTCTCCAAGGTCAAGGACAGGTGCAAAAGGCTTCTGTGGGATAAGCAGGGGCAGGATCTCATCTCTCTCAGGCGGAGGAAGTCGGCTTGGATCGAGATAAGCTTGCACGTTGATGACCAGGGAAGCCAGCTGACTCAGTGGCCCCAACCTCTACCCCTCACTGCTGCCTCCACATGGCGAGTGTAGTTTTACTTTCGAAAACAGCATCGTTTTGAAACAGGAAAGTGGACATATTTTTCTCCACTGGTGATAAAAGTTTAGCTCTTTTCCCAAAGAAGGCTTTTACTCAGTTGTAAAAATATTTTACTTCGTAACTGTTCAAGGTTTTTTTTTTTTTTTTTGAGAGAGAGAGATTTTTGCTATAGGGCACATGCACTTGCTAGAGAGATAGAGACAGAGAGAAAGCGAGAAATCACACACACACACACACACACACACACACACACCGGGGGGATGGTCACGCCGCAGTCCCTTCTCCTCCATTCTCCTCTCTGGATCTTGGACATGCACACACACGTACCCAGCGTGAGTTTTAAGCCACTAGGGTGGCACTCAAATGAGGTCGACTATGTGGGGGTCCAGCGACGTAACCATTATGCCATCTGCTGATCCCTGTTCAAGGCATTTTAATTGCTCATCAACAACTTCCCAAAGTCAAGGTGAATGGCACTTTCTGGTAGCACGTTAGAGAGTTCAGGTGGAACCAGCACCTCATCCCATACTCGAAACCAAAGGAGACGCATGTCCCCAGCCTGCCCTTCAGTATCCTTCTCACTGTTCCTGGCCACCCAGAGGACAGATGCTTAAAGTCCAGCCTGAGTCACACACCAGCTGCCAGATGGGATTTTAAGCACTTTAACATATTCGCTTCTAAATGATTGGATGGGAGTCTCCCTGCAGGAATTCCTTTCTAGAAGAGTAAAGCGCTCAATGTCAAGTGTACCAGAACAGGCTCTGTGCAGTGAGACGGGTGCCGCTCTGACTCCTACCTACCCTGCTCCTGGCACGGCACCCGGCGTGGAGAAGCATTCAGTTTCCAGAGGCCTAGTGCATGAATGATTGACAGGCTGCACCAATCTAGACTAGATGATGACACAACTGTGACCAGAGGGGTCACATGTGGTGTGACTCGGAGGCCTCTGTCTCTGGACAGTACACTGGAGACGTGATGGGTGAATGGATTCAGCACACAGCCACTGGTGGGTACTAAGTAGAAAACCGGCCACATACGATCAAATTGAGACGCAAGCCAGCTCCCGACCCGCAGCTCACAGCATCCTCGGGCGGCAGAGCCCGAAGGCCAACCAGTGGTCAGACAACCTCCCAGCCAGTCCCAAGGCCTCTCCTTCATCAGCGTACATCTTCCCTGTCCCCTGGCTTTGTTCCAAGCAGCTTTTTAAATGGAAACACAGGAAGACCGTGACCCAGCCACACACTAGGCTGGGGGAAGCCCCCACACTACCCTAGGCCCAGGGAACAGCATGGCCTCAATCACAGATCACAGGGCCAACTCCAATCCTTCCCTGACTGGCCCATGTGCCAGCATCCCGGTCTTCATTCCCCAGGAGACTTTCATTCTTATTTTAATTTGCCAGAGTGTCCACATGCTTGCCAGTGAGAGAGAGAGAGAGAGAGAGAGAGAGAGAGAGGAGAAAGCTCCCCCTCCCACTGCAATCCCTTCTCCTCCTTTTCTCCCTTTCGGAATTTTAGCCACAGTGCACATGTGCCCAGGATGTTTCTCAAGCTATCGGGTCCTGGACTCAAACTGCATGACTGCTCCTGCAGGATCCAGTTCCTTAACCACAGGCCATGGGCTGGTGTCTCAGAGGAGACTTCTACAGGTGGCCCTGCACGGGCTTTCTAGGATTTGACAAGCATCGGTATTCTTTCCTTTTGCCCCACTGTGTCTGCACTGAAACTTGTGGCAGAGGCAGGCGCAGGGCAGCATGGGCTTGGGCAGGTTGTTCATCCTCTCTGGAGGCTTCATTTTCTCCCTTGTGAAATGATTCAGAGATGTCCTGAGAGTTAAACCACCAGAACGTGACAGCACACTGAAATACGCTATGCTGTGCTAGCCTTGTTAGGACCCTTACAACAGAAGGCCTCATTTCACTGTTAAGAGTTCAGGCTCTTGGACCAGCAGATGATGCACGGGTTATGTTGCTGGACTCCCACATGGACAACCGTGATTCGAGTCCTGAACCCAGCAGCTTGAAACTCACGCCAGCCATGTGTGCTCAAGAGCCCAGGAGGAGGAGAATGGAGGAGAGGGGATTGTGGCATAGCCCTTCCCCCGAGGGGAGATTTATTTCTGAATTTCCTTCTTTATTTTTGGAGAGGGTTTTTTTTTTTTTTTTTTTTTTTTTTTTTTTTTTT